GACCCTCAAGCCTGGTAGAGAGAGAGAGAGAGAGAGAGAGAGAGAGAGAGACGGGGAGAGAGAGACGGGGAGAGAGAGAGAGAGGGAGAGAGAGGAGACACACTTAATTCACTTTCCGATCCAATTGAGAGTAATGATGAGCGCTTTTGCTCCCGATCTCCGAAGCCAGCCGGATAGGGGAAAAGTGACTTGTGTGTGCTGTCTGTATCTTGGAGTGAGCATGCGTGAAGTATCTTTGGTTGATTGCCTTGCTGGCGTCCTCTCTGTCCGCCTTTCCGCCGGAGCAATAGCCAAGCCGGGGGGGCACAGCCGAGCCAGACGGGGCTTGCCAAGACCCGCAGGTGCACGTCCGCGCGCGGAGGGGGGTGTCCGTCTCCGTCTCCTTGCTAGGGAGAACGACAGAGAGAGAGAGAGAGGGAGTGCTAACCCCTCTGGCTGTGTTCAGCCCTTTTTGTAGCTTTTGAAAGCAGCGGAGGCAGATCTTTCTGTGAGTATGGAGCTCTGCCAGAAACTGGACTTTGGCAAGCTCTCGCTCCATGTGCTTTCGATGCATTGAAACAAAGGTAAATGCTTTGCTACTGCCGAGTAGAGGCTTGGCATCTGAGGCTGCGGAAAAGAGATCATCCTCAAGCTGCAGCTGGTTGAAGTTCAAGCCCCTCAGCATGTCACTATTTTGGTTCTCCCTGCTTCTCTTTTCGTGTTCTGTTGCGGTGGGCTGCGCTCGCTGTGTTTCAGCGTCAGGATCTCTGTTTGGCCACGCTCGAAGGACATGAGCGACTGGAGTATGCGAAAGGACTTAGCGCCATTGGCCGGGAACGGATGCACAGGATACGGAATCACTGGGAGCCCGGCAGCTTCTGTATCCCTGTACTAGGACGCAAAGATGCGGGATCCAAGTTCTTCAAGCGCGACAAGTTCGAGTCGGCGCTTGAGCGCTACAGCCTGGCTGCCGAGATGCTTGGCCACCGCGATGACATCAAGGACAGGCCAGGCGCGAGTCTTCTACACCTGTAGTCCGTGCATGCGCACGCATAACTGCACATTTTGTATACACGCATAGGTCCGAAGACAAGGTCGGAAAGGTCTACAAGCACAGATTTTGATTCTCGGGATATACGGCTCGAAGCATTACTGAACTCGATTTTCACATCCATGGTCTTTTTGGGTTTTTGAGACCATGACCACGAACATGCAGGCGTTTTCTGATCCACGAAGACAACACATTTTTTTGGTGCAATGTCTGCGGCAGGATAATGCGCTTTGGGCGCAAGCACAAGACGTCCGGGCACTCTGTGAGCTGAATGCAGTATGGGGCCCAAGAGCACAAGGCGTTCGAGTCAAAGCCGCAGAAGTCCGAGAGTCCTGAGGCAGCCTGTTTGCTGAAGCTGGAGAAATGGCGGGAAGCGGAGGAGCAGCCGGGCAGGGCGTTTGTACCATGTCGCTCAGATTTCGGTGTTTTGTTGCAGGCGGTCTGCAATGCGATCCTTCGCGCGAGCCCTGACAACGAGAAGGACCCGCCCCCAAGCCATGCGTCACAGATGGTGAATGGCAGTGACCGGCTGTTGAGGCACTTTTCCGGCGAGCCAAAGCTCTGTTGGCCTCGGGTGATGCGGCAAGGGCAGAGGTTGATCTGCGCCGAGTTCTAGAGGCCAGTGAGAAGTGCCAATATTTAATATTTGTGGGGACCGCAAACTGGGTCGATGCACAGGCCAACTCCGGCAATGCAGAAGCAAAGCAGCTGCTGCAGAAGGCACCCGGTATGTCCGACTTACCCACTGAAAGCGTACAAAACTCGACCAGCGGAGGCCCGACAGCAAGGCAAAGGAACGGAGAAGGAGAGGAAGGTCTATGCAAAGATGCTGCAATGAGACAATGCCGAGTGACGTTCTGGTGGCGACACTGGCTCGTGATACCGTCCAAAACGCTTCTGCGAGTCCAAAACGATTTTCAGCCTTCCGTCGTTCTACGAATGACAGGCCCTGCTATCCTAATCCAAGCAGTGGTGCACCTCAGGTCGAATCTGTCATGAGCTCTTAGTCGCCTGGAGCACAACGGCGCCATGCTGCTTGGGTCCATGGCTGAAGCTGGGCAGGCGCGAATCGTCTGGTGCTCAGCTTGCGAGCGCCAGCTGCTCTCCGCTTGCTGTGCTTGAAGTGCCAAAAATACTGGAAGGCAGAACTCTCTCCGCAAGCTTTGGCCAACATGTCTTGACCACAGCTGTCTGCGAAGACCGATCTGCCGTAGCACCCGCTGTTTATTGAGACCGTTTCGTGCCAAGAAAGTGAGGCTGTGGAAGCTTGCGAGCCCCGAGTCTTCGCACGAACCTGCCCCGCACTCCAGCGCTTGGCAGATGCCGGGAAGGGACTGCTTGGAGACCAGGTCATGAGCCAATCTCTGGGTGAAGTGCAAAGGCGGCTTTCAGGTTCGGAGCCGAGTGGGGGCAGCTGGCGCGATGTCAGCGACTCGACATTTTCTCCCACCGAGGATTCCAGTTCCAGGGCCTGGTTGGCATTGCGTTTTCCTCTTGGACTTGGACTCCCCTGGGCGGCTGAGGGGGTTGTCAACTGCATGTCAAGGTGGTCCTCCGCGCAATCGGTTGCATCGACTCCTCCCTTGCTGGACGCAGCGGTTGTTGCCGCGATCGAGGCGTGCCGGCAGGGCTCAGGCCGATGTCCGCTCAGATTTTGCTCAGGCTATGCACCAGGCTCAGCCGAAGGAGGCTGATGGCGTCAAAAAGCGATGTGGAGAGTGGGGACAGTGGGGAGGCTGTGCTGCGCGCCGAAGCCTCCTCTCTTTGGCAGGTGCTGGTCCTGGCCCAGGCCTTCGAGCGCCTCGGCCATGGCCAGTGGCCCGACTCGAACGCCCTTCTTCCGAAGTCCCTAGAGCTTTCCCAAACTGAGACAGCGTCAGCCAGCCTGAGCTCTGGGCGCGCATCAGCGAAGACATCGACAAGCACTTCCTGCAGATGGAGCAGGCGTGGTGTTAAGACCGCAGCATGTATTTTGTTCAATACAAGATGCAGGTTTTCCGTCTGCGCTCTGCAGGAGCTGCAAACGACCAGCTCCGAGCTTCCCGACTCTGAGCTGGTAATGGGTTCGCTGCAGGCGCCTATGCCCCAGGCCCTAGGCCTGTCAGGGCCCATTGCTTTGTGAGGTGCTGCACGACGCCGGCTGCCTCACAGAGAAGAGCTTCAGCGGGAAGCCTATGGGGAAACTCAGCCGATGCCGCATGGATGCAGGATACCTGAAGAGGGCTAAGATGTCACAGAGTTTGGCAAAGTCCGGTGGCCAGAGAGCTCTGTGGAAATGTAAGAGATGTATCGTCCGGCCGCAGCTTTTGCTTGTTCAAGCGGCACGACGCAGCCAAAGCCTGCTGAGTGTCGACGTTTTCCGTTGTGGGCTGGAGGCCTACACACACTCTTACAAGGCCCTTGCACGACGAAGCCGACAGTTCCGTGAGTGGGCCAGCACAAACATCGTGCAGGTGAGTTAGCCTTTCATTCAAGCATCACAGACTGTCGCCCATGCTATTGTCGGCAGGCACTCTGCAGCCAAATGCGCTTTGATGGGTCTTCTGGCTTCTTTCAACGGCTGAGGCGCCATCAGACTGTTCGAATCGCCTCGTTTTGACCAGTATGCATGATGTTGTTCTTTTGGTTCGCCACTGTTGACGGAACAACTCGCATGGCCGGCTGTCAGCCCTCTGAGCCGTGCAGGGATTGAGAGTTGGTTTGTGAGGTTTGGTGGAAGCACTGTGCCGGCCTGCAGCACCGAAGCTGCAGGATCCCGAGGCGCGCAACCTTCGTGTCTCAGATGTTGCTGCCATGTCAGAGACTCTGCTTGACTGTCAGGCCGCACATTCGTTGCACAGCTGCTGGGCACAATCCAACATGCTGTTGCACCACTCGTAACTTCCGGTAGGCTCTTTGCGTTTAGCCGGAGGTTCCTTACTCGGTTCGGTTGTAGTCACGGTGCATCGACTTCTGGTCTTCAAGCCCGTATCGTGCTTTCAGCTGCACGGGCTCACGGGCTCATGACGTCACAGCTGGTGTCTGCCAGGTTGCGCAAGTGTGCAGAGAATTCGAACCCACCACATGGGTTTTTGAAGAATACGGCGCGTGCCTTAGAGCTGAGATGCCGCGGCAGATTGCATGCTTTTCGGTGGGACTTTGTGGCGCAGTTCCAGGTCGGGCACCTGGGCAGTTTGTGCAGCACGCAGCCACAGCTGTCCCACACAGCGCTCGCAGCCATCCGGGATCTCATAAAGATCCTGGACCGCGAAGTCCTCAGTTTGAGACCATTGTCGGACCGCCGCAGTCAGCCCTAGAGTCCAAATCAGGCATGCAGTGGTTTTTCTGTGGTACAAAGGTGTATTCTTGCTTGCAACTGTTCTGGATCCAAGGGGCATCAAGCCCGGACGACGTGCTCGACTTTGCCTTGGCAGCTTACTTTGATGAGGCCTCTTGAAAAGAGGTTGCTGGTGATGCTTCTGATAAAGAGCCTTAGTCCGGCAGTGGCTTGCAGGCCGTGCTTCGACATTTCCGGTCGCTCATGGGTAAGGCTCGCCAGCTTCGCTCTTAGGTTCAGTCGTCATGCATTCGGCTCTGCAGCTCAGGCCTTGGAAAACGTTGCATCGGGTGAGCGAGGTTCGTCGAGCTTTGAGCACGGCCTGTTGGATCAAACCTGAGCTCCAGGCAGCACAAGCATTCCGCCGCTACCAGTTTTGCTACAACACTGCGAGGAGGATTTCGAGGCGACCAGAAGAGCTCCAGAGCACCTGACTCTTTTGCATGCTCATGTTAGAGGTGCACAAAGGCACAAGGGCAGTCTGTATTTGTTTAGAGACAGAAAGTCGGCAATTTTGTGCAGTCGAGACACCAACGTGACCCCCCCCATCGTTTTCCCTCTTTGCCCTGATATTGGCAACTGTTTTTCCTTGAGCCCGCACTCGATATATTTTTGTTGTCGTGACGAGCGCGTGATCACATTCGCGACCGCAAGACCTGTGCCGATGGTATTCGGTATCCGCTAAGGGTAGAGAGGCTCCTGCTCAGGCCATTCAAGTCCCGCAGGCCCAAGAAGTTCGTAGGCTTCCGACCTCAAGGGTCCCACGTCTTGTCAGCGCACTGGCTGGCTTGGTGTATCACGGAATCACGGTGTGGAACCAAGCGCACGCCACACCTTGGTTTGACGTGACCGACCTTCAGGCGAAGTTGTATCTGCTCCAGCCCTGATTTTGCCACGAAGCCCTCGGCCATGATCGGGGACCATGTTGGCTGTAGAGGACTCGCAAGATGGCTCGCATCACCGCTGTTCCCCTGCTACCCTTGGCATACTTATTTCTCGACCGCCTTCGTCCCATACATCGAGTGAAGCACCGCTCTGCAAGCTTGCGGCCGCGTCCGGAGGCCTTCTCCGATTGGTGTGGGAAGGCCTCATGCATGTCAATGCATGTCCTGCCTTCTGGGATCATCGAGGGCTCCCGGCTGCCCCCGCGGGCAGGTCGGCGATGCATACGTGTACTTTGTGTTCCTCGACATCAAAGGCGACAGGGCACTGTTGACACATGCCGTCCCTTGGCAGAGCTTCCACGGTTTCAGTATGGCCTGCTGCAACAGAGGTTCCAGCAGTTCTAGCTGGGTTTTCGTCTGCTAAATCGAGGCAAAGCGTTTGCAGCAGTTGCTGCGGGTTGATGTTCGCAGTTTGATCGCAAACCTCTCTGCGACGAGGCCAGGCGTGTAAATAGTTCTCGTGCCGAGGGGAACTGAATCACAAATCGCCCCTTAATCCTGTAGCAGGCATTGGGTCCAATTGGTGTGGAAGGAGCTGGCCTGCCAGCGCAGGTCGCAAACATTGCAACGGATGCACATGCAGGCATTGCAGCAGCGCGTCTTAAAACTTGAAGGCTTGCGGTGGGCTACAAACAGTTCGCTTATGCACCTGGTTTCCTGCAGAGTCGCAACCAACCTGAGGCAGTGGCTGTCACATGCGAAGGCTCGAAGATTTTGCTGCTGCATAGACTCAGACGTGACCAAACCATGTTGACGTGTGAGCAAAGAGTCAAAGAGTGATGACGCAGTTTTTATGCGCCTCGCCTGATTCAAGCAACTTTTGTGTCCGAGGAAGCTGCAGTGGCCAGCCTGTGCGATATCGGTGGCCGGGCATTCTGGGACATGTACTTTTGCGACTCGCTTCAACGCAGTGCAGTGCACTTAGGCAGTCCAATTCTTAAAACTTAAAGCTTGTGGTGATGTTGCTATATGGAAGTTTGGCCAGGAAGAGTGAAGCTTCTACATGTTTGAAGATTTTCTGGACTGGACAGCCGAGGTGGCCTGACCAAGATCAGCTGGCACGATTTCGTGGACGGCCTGCAGGAGCAATTTCTCAAAGACTTCTGTGCGCAGGACCGATTGTGAACATCAGTAAGTTGTGAGTATTTTGCAATATTGGCTTGCAGCCAGAACATGAAAACGCAAGCGAGAACATGACCCTGTCCAGGTCACAAGAAATAAGTCCTGCATGCGTAGGCACTCGTCATGTTCTCTGCCATTCACCAAGTCCATTGCTTAAGGAAATGCGTGCCTACATTCGTTTTTTCTGTCTGCCTGCCTTCCTGCCTGCCTGCCTGCCGCGGGCTGGCTGGCTGGCTGCCTGCCTGTCTGCCTGTCTCTCTGAGTGTCGGTGTGTACTTATGTATGTACGTAAGTAAGTACGCATGTTGGCAGCTGCGCTGTAGGTGTGTAGGTATGTAGGAATGTAAGAGAGTAGGCATCAGGCAGTCGATGCAGTGGGAGGTAGGTGAAAAGGTAGGTAGGTAGGTACGTAAGTAGGTAGGTAGGTACTTACGTATGTAGGGGTTTGGGTATGTAGGTTGGAATGCATGCATGCATGCATGCATGCATGCATGGATGTATGGATGTATGTATGTATGTATGTATGTATGTATGTATGTATGTATGTATGTATGTATGTATGTGTGTGTATGTGTGTTTGTGTGTGTGTGGGTATGTATGTATGTATGTATGTATGTATGTATGTA